TAAATCCTAAACCCTAAACCCTAAACCCTAAACCCTGGACCCTATACCTATAAAACCTAAACACTAAACCCTACACCCTAAATACTAAACTCTAAACCCTAAACCCTTAACCCCAAATCCACTTAACCATAACCCCAAAACCCCAAACCATTAACACTAAGCCCTAAACCCTAAAGCCTAAAGCCTAACCCTAAACCCTAAACCCTAAACACTAACCCTTACACCCTAAACTCCTAAACCCAAATCCTTAAACCCTAAACCCTATAATCTAAATTGTAAACCCTAAACCTTTACCTTAAACCATAAACCTTAAATCTTACACCTAAAATCCTAAACCCTAAACCCTCAACTCTAAATACTAAACTCGAATGCTAAACCCTAAATTCTAAACCCTAAAATCAAATTTCTAAACCCTAACCCTAAACTAGAAACCCTAAACCCTAAACCTTAGAACCAAAACCCTAACCTCTAAAGAATAAACCCCTAAGCCCAAAGACCGCCCTAAACCCTAAAACTTAAACCATAAACCCTAAACCCCTAAACCTTAAACACTAAACCCATAAATCCAAACCCCTAAACCCTAAACCTTAAACTCTAAACCCTATACCATGAACCGTTAACCCTAAACCCAAAATCCTAACCCCTAAGGCCTAAACCCTAAAACCTAAACCCTAACCCTAAGCCCTAAATCCAAAATCCTAAATCCTAAATCCTAAATTCTAAGTCCTAAATCCTAAACCCTAAATACTAAACAATAAACCCCAATCCCTAAACCCTAATTTCCTAAAAACTAAACCCTAAACCTATCCCAAAACACTAAACCCTAAACCTTAAACCCTTAAACCCTAAACCCTAAACCCTAAACCCTACTGGATTCTTTGACACAGTGGTTGACTGGTTAAGGAGTTTCTCCTGACCACTCGGTCACGGGTTCGAGGATAGTAACCCATAGAAAAATTGGTTAAATAGGTATTCTAAAATAATAATAATAAAAACCTACACCTAAAATCCTAAACCCTAAACCCTAATCCCTAAACCTAAAACCCTAAATTGTAAATCCCGAACCCTAAACACTAAACCCTAGACCATAAACCATAAACCCTAAACCTTAAAACCTAGACCATAATCTGTAAACCCTACACCCTAAACCCTAAACCCATAAACACTAAACCCTATACCCAAAACCATAAAATCTAAACCCTAACCCGAAACCCTAAATACTAAATGCTAAACCCTAAACCCTAAACCCTAAACTATAATCCTAAACCCTAAACCCTAAACCCTACTGGATTCTTTGACACAGTGGTTGACTGGTTAAGGAGTTTCTCCTGACCACTCGGTCACGGGTTCGAGGATAGTAACCCATAGAAAAATTGGTTAAATAGGTATTCTAAAATAATAATAATAAAAACCTACACCTAAAATCCTAAACCCTAAACCCTAATCCCTAAACCTAAAACCCTAAATTGTAACTCTCGAACCCTAAACACTAAACCCTAGACCATAAACCATAAACCCTAAACCTTAAAACCTAGACCATAATCCCTAAACCATAATCCCTAAACACTAAACCCATAAACACTAAACCCTATACCCAAAACCATAAAACCTAAACCCTAACT